TCGTCGACCCGACTCCTCCAGATCAAGAGAAGAAGAAGACAAAAGAAGATGAGAAAAAGGAGGATGAGAAAAAGGAGGATTACCAAAAGGACTATGAAAGATCCCAAGCGAAGCCTGGGGTGTGGAAACAGTTGGTGGATAAGGGCCCGGGGCGGTGGGTGTGGCTCCGCCACTGCCGCTACTGCAATTCCAGCAACTACTGGAGGAAGGGCTGCTGTTTCAAGTGCAGCAGTGATGCACGAATTCGTTCGTGCATCCACGAACACCTTACATGGAAAGGCAACCCTCTGGCCGCAACATTCGCCGAGGAAGCAGACTCAGCAGCCCCAGCAGCCAATGCCGACAGTGCGAATCGCGAATACTGGGGCCTCGACGACGGCCCCGACGACACACTTGGCACTCCCGGCTCCTCCAAGCGAAGAAGCTCCCGAACCTCCGCCTAGAGATGCACCGCGGCCGCCTGTGCTTAGGCCGCAAGAAATCTGCGAGAAAGGGCGACCCGGATGTCAAGAAGCCGGACGAAAAGAAAGATGACGATGATAAGAAGGACGGCGACGACAGGGGCCGTGGTGGCGGCCATGACTTGACGGCCTACGATGATCGAAAGAGCCAGCTCTTCCAGCCGTGCCGCCAAAAGATCGAAAGTGCTGCTGCATGTAGATGTAACAAGCCTCTTCAACACAGTACAGTTTGTTGTCTGCTGCCCTGTCAGGTTCATCGGCGACCTCTACGAGGGCATCGAGAAGGGTTGCGGAAACCCACAATACAAAACGGGCTGAATAAGCCACCAAAAAATATTGGGGCTGAATAAACACCAAAAATTATGGGCTGGGGCTGAATAAGCCCCCAAAATATGGGGCTGAATAAGCCCCCAGAAATACCGGGCTGAATAAGCCCCGAAATACCGGGTCGAATAAGCCCCCCGAAATACCGGGCTGAATAAGCCCCCCGAAATACCGGGCTGAACAAAGCCACAAAAATGGTGGGCTGCCGGGGCGATGCTGATTCAGGCCGGCTATTTCCTAAGGGTTGGAAATCGTAGCCAAAAAGAACCATGAAATCATATGAAGGAATATGAAGAACCATGAAGAACCATCAAGAGCCATGAATAACCATGAAGGAATATGAAGGAACATGAAGGAATATGAAGGAATATATTTTTTTTACCATTTTTGCCACCACTCAGCACTGCCCACACGCCACCGTCGCACGCCACCCTCACCACCATCACCGCCAGCCAATGCCCAAAACCACCGCCGCCACCCACCAACCAGCACCGCCACCAAACATGTGTCCCCGTTACCGCCACTGACCACCCAACCCCACCTCCACCACCCAGCCTCCCAAACCCAGCCAATCCAGCCAGGATGTGTGGGTGTGGGGTCGGTGTGGTGGTGGGTCGTGGCAGTGGTGCGTGGCTGTGGGGTCGTGGTGGTGGCGGTGCTGGGTGGGTCGTGGCAGTGGTGCGAGTTGCGGGTTGGATGCGTGGGGTCGTGTTGGTGCGGTGGCGGCGCGTGGCGGTTGGTCGTGCATGCTGGTTCAGGGTTGGATGCGTGGGGTGCGGTGCGGTGGTGGTGGGGTGGTGGCGGGTGGTGCTGGTGGTGCTGGGTGGTGGTGATGCTGGTCTGGGTCCTGGTGGTGGTGTCGGTGGGGTGGGTGGTGGGTGGTGGCGGCGGCGGTGGTGGTGGGCGGGGCGGTGGCTGTGGTGCTTGTGTGATGGCGGGACATGTCCTGAAAATGGGCTGCAGACCGATGGTTTTCGGGGTGGGGTGGGTGAGGTGGGTTACCGCACCAGTCCCACGACCCACCAGCACCCGCCAGCACCACCACCAGCACTACCACCACCCACCACCGCACCAACACGACCCCACACCCACACATCCAACCTTGAACCTTTAACACCCTTTATCCCCTGCTCGGCTTCCCACCCCGAACGAAACCCCGAACCCAAACCCCAATCACTTCCCCTCCACACATGCATGCATGCACACACACAGAGATAGATAGATAGATAGATAGATATATACATATATATATATATATATATATATGTGTGATTCAAGGTTTGGGGTTAAAGGGTTTAGGGCTTACAGTTATATGTATACATACACAAATATATTATAAAGACACTTGTGCATATATACAAATATATACACACATACACATACGCAGGTGCATATCCCTGCTTCATCTCGTTCACGAACTTTAAAACACACACACACACATTTATTTGCACATTAAGTGATAACCCCGTTAGAAAAATACTATAGATTGTCTACGTCATACAAAACATGGTTTTTGTAGGGACATGTTAACATCAAACACCTGTCAGGTCTCTCTGAGTTTGCTGCTCATCGAGATCCCGAACTGGGAGGCAGCCGCCGAAACTGTTAACATCACAAGCCTGTCAGGTCTCTCTGGATTTGCTGCTCGTCCTGAACTGGGAGGCAGCCGAAACATGAAAAGCCGAAACTGTTCACATCACAAGCTTGTGAGGTCTCTCTGGATTTGCTGCTCGTATTGAACTGGGAGGCAGCCGAAGCATGAAACATGTGCTCAGGGTTGCAGGACTGTGGAAGAGATCGAAACAGTTTGAAAGACTACGCTGTGTGACATCTGTAGCTCGAGATTTTTTGTTTTCCAACATCTCGAGAATTTTCACCCTCTGCTGCCATGCCGTCGATGAAGCGCCCGGCTGCCTCCGAAGGAAGCTCTACCAGGAAGAGCTTGAAGGCCGAAGACTTGCAGTTGGTGGCCTTTGAAGGACAAGACCTCGACGAGAAGATCGAGAACTTCAGGCAGAGCTCCGAGTGTGGATCCGGCACGCAAGCGGTGGATCAGTTCTTCAAGAACTTGACCACCAATGAACGGATGAGTATTTGGAAGAAGTTTGAGAGCGACCGGAACAGCACCCGGGCCAAGGCCAAGGAAGTCAACGACGCCTTCGAGAACTTGAAGGGCAAAGGCTCGATGGATCAGAAGAGGGCCATGCTGAAAGCATGGCTGAAAGGCGGCTTGAAGGAGGCTGCCATCGTGGCCAGCCTGGAGTTTGAGAACACCACGACCAAGGCCGAGGAAGAGGAGTGGCTGCCCCTCCACAAAGCGAAGTCGCACTACGGCGAGTCCGAGCTCAAAGCTCGCCTGGAAGCAGGCGACTTGCTTCAATTTCGTGGGTCTGTTAATCGTTTGCAGGGCCAAGTTTTAGATTTTGCAACATGTCGGCTTCATGTGCTTTCAACACGGAGGCACGCTGGAGTGGAGGAAGTGCAAAGACGACAAGAGGTTCATCGAAGTCCGGAAGGTGAAAGAAACCCGGAAAAGAGAGACAACGAGTCGCCATCGCATGTCGGCTACGGGAACTGGGAAGCTTCAGACCCCCTCGCTTTTGGCAGGCCTTCTTTCGGAGAGCGAAAGCGAGGGGAAGAACATGCCGGAGGACTATGAAGCCAATCCTGTGTTCACGCAGCCCCACATTTTGTATACTTTCCCATTCGTGCAATCTTTGAGTATATGCATTGATGTGCTGCGCCGCATGGATCTAGGGGTCTTGCTGAGGTATGAAGGATCCGTTTTAAAGCATCTCATCTACCACGAGCTGCCGAGCGATGCCCGAACCAACCTTGACAGAGTCTGGGAGGCAATTCAAAATCGATACGAACCGAATTGCAAATCCAGGCTGACGACCCTGACTTTGGCCATGATCGTTCCCAAACCGAAATCGCCTCACGCATCCCACCCAGTATTGAAGCTCAAGGCGGCTGAGGCAAGGCATTTCTTGCCCCCGTTGACTAGCTGTTGTGAAGCATTGGGGCCGAAGACAAAGGTGCAGAAACTGAGGTTGCAAGGTTTGAAGCAGCTGTGTTCGTGGTATGAACTTTTGGACGAGATCGAGTTCGTGAAGAACGACGCACAAGCCAGAAAACTGAAGTCTTTGCTGCACGGCGTTTTGCTGGTCAATGAGGAGCTGTGTGAATGGGCCAAAGAGCAGGGTTTCAATATTTACGAACCAGTACCGAAGAATCATTATTCCTATCACCTCGCAGAGCTTGCGAAGTACATCTCACCCAAACGGGTCTGGAGCTACAAGCAAGAGTCTTTCATGGGGGTGATTGCAGGTGCGGCAAACTCGTGTTCCTTCGGCACGAAGCTTCCCAGGATTGGTTTCAAGATAACTGAGAAAATGAGATACCTCATGCACTTTCACTGGCAATTTGGCCTCGTACAGGACAATGAAGACTAGAGTGTTGCCACTGCTGCAGCTGGAAAAGATCGTGTCGCTGCCACGTGCCGTGTTGCCTTTTTGTGTTTTGGTGGATCTGCAGTAGATGTATCAACGTTGGGCAGGTTGGATGACGGATCGCATCACAACCATCCTGAAGCATCTGGGCGATAACAGGGCTGCAGAAGCCCCATGCGATTGGGCCGGAGAGGCCCACCGACAACAGGGGCTGCAGAAGCCCCATGCGATTGGGCCGAAGAGGCCCACCGACAACAGGGGCTGCAGAAGCCCCATGCGATTGGGCCGAAGAGGCCCACCGACAGCAGGGGCTGTAGAAGCCCCAAGCGATTGGGCCGAAGAGGCCCACCGACAGCAGGGGCTGCATAAGCCCCATCCAAGATGAAGGGTTCAAAACATGCATATATGCTTAAATTCATATAATTTTCTATTGGTTTTGATGCTACTTTTCTATTGGTTTTTATTGTGGTTTCGCTTGGTTTTTTAAGCATCCACGCTTGGTTTTCCGTTCCCGATTTTCTATTGGTTTTATGTCTGAAACCAATCGAATGCGCTCGAAATAAACCCAAACCAATCTCTATTGATATTTACAATCGATCTCGAAATTTTTCAATCGATCGATGCCCTGGGGTCGATGAGCCTTGAGTCCCATCTCCACCTCCCAGCAACAGTCTTAATTAACAGTTTAACCTGGCTGGGAACTTCCGGGAAAGGGTTTACATGGTGTGCCACAGGTGCAAAACGGCGCTGCTCAGTCCAGGGCCGTGCGGCAGCTGAAAAGCCCAAGCAAGCACTTCCCAGGCTCGCGGAGGCCACGCACAAGCTCCAGCAGGCGCCTGCGCAGCGCATACGCGGGCTCCGCATGCACTGCGCGCACATGCGCAGATGCGCTGCGATGCGCTGAGCTCGTTTAGCTGCCACTCGCCAAGCTCCGCCGAGCGACGCCGAGGACGCGTCGATGGCCATCGTCTGGCTGGCTGCCTCAAAGCAGGCTCCTGAACCCTCACCCAGACCGGCCGTCGCCGTGATGGCCTAAGACGGCTGACTGGGTCCCCAAGCGCGGAAGGTGACCTTCACTGCGGATCCTTGCAGTCGCCTGCAGGGGGGAACAGTCGCCCTCGCGGCTCTTCGATGCATTCACGGCCATGGAGTCTGCTGAGCTGCTGGGCACATCTGCAGAGGCTTCCACAAAGTGCCAAAGTGCCGTCAAGGCGGCTGCCGCCACAAACTTCTCCTTCGCACGTGCACGCGGCCGCGCATGGCGGCACTGATCACTGCGGCTTGCGAGGCTTGAGGGTCCGCGAAATCCGCATGCTGCAGGCCAGTGACGCTGGCCTCCTCCAGCAGGGCCTTTAATAACGACGCCGCTAAAAGCAGCTAAGACTCTAAGAGCTCCGCAGACCGGGCCTGGCCCTCCGTCTCGTCGAAGTGCCGGCGCTCCAGGAAGCTCAGCTGGGTCCCGGTGGCCTTCAAGGCCTCGCAACGCATCGGTGCGATTTTGCTGCGCTTTTCCGCGGGGCGCGCCTGCTCCAAGAGCTTCAGGAGCGAAGTGCCCCGCGCGCTCCGGCCTCACTCAGACTCGACTCGACCACTACGGGCCATGCGGGTTGCGGCCGCAGCCCTTCTGCTGGGTCAGCGGCTGACCAAGACGCAGGCAGGCTCCAGCACGAGGCCTCGAATTTCAGCCCAGTTAAGAGCTGGAATCCGCACACACTTTGCGATCTTATCTCTGTCTGCGGCATTGCGAGAGTGCCCGGTTGTAGGAGGCCGTGTCGGAAAACTGCGTGATATGGAATTCCATCGACCTCTGTTCTCTCAATGCTCTGTGCCACTGTGCCCCTGACAGCTCAGCACACTCAAGGGCGCGCCGTCGGTGTATGGCAGCAAAGCCAATCTCGGGGGCAGGGCGAAAGAGCGAAACAACGCGAGACTACCGAGCCCATTCCGAGCCCGAGCCTCGCGGGCGCGGGACTCGATGAGCGCCACCACCTCCAAGCGCCGCTGCCGCACGGCTGATCGCGCTCAGACCCTTTTTCTTAGGATAGAACCGAATCGCCGGGGATGCTTTGACGCCAGTCCTGCACGGCGTGCACGCTGCGCAGCTGCGACACGAGCAAAGTGCAGGAGGCACCTCTCTCTCCCCTCTCGCCGTGGTCCCCACAGTAAGGAGACACTGTGTCTCAATCCCAAAACTCTCTAAGGCTGCAGACGGCAACCGGGGCAAGCTGTGGAGCGAGCAGAGCGAAGGCCCGGGGGCCCGGGGCCTTGAGGCACTCCAAGGGGTTCAAGGTTGTCGGAGCTCCCCACGAGCTCTCCTTCCCTGGCTCCGCTCCTGCTGCGCCTCCGCCGCCTCCGGCTCCTGCTCTCGGCTCGCACTGAAGTTGCTCGTCGCACCACGGACACCTGACCGGAAATTCCCGTTGCGACAAACAGAGAGCTTTTTGCCAGTCGCCGCCAGTGCCGAGCAGGCGGCACAGCATCGGCGACTCGAAGGACCCAGGGATCCAGCGCACGACTCTCACACGCGCCCTACCAGTATACACCTTCTGGAGCCCTGGAAACGCACAAGACTAAGAGCATGCTGAGCATGAAATGAGGACGCTGCCCCTGGCCCTGGCTGTGGGAGTCTTCGGCGCTCTCTTTTGCGGTGTCTCAGCGCTCGCACCAAGCGACGGAGCTCCTCGTCCTCGCACTCGCCGCCCTCGCCGCCCTCGCCTTCCAGGAGGCTCAGAGCATCACGCATCTCCGACCTCAGTGATCCACAGAGAGCACAGAGAGCCGCAGAACGGCCGCAGAGCTGACTCTGACTTCGGCAAGCGGCGAGAGTGTGATCTGCAGGGAGGTCGAGGATTCGTAGACGGCGAGGATTCCGCAGAGCAGCCGCCGGGCCAGCGGAGCGGAAGCGTCGTGCCGCGGCGGGGCATAGAGGTGCCAGGCCAGGCTGCTCTCCAGGAAACTTTGGAGCCGCCTTTCTTGTTTGAGGCGTTCTCCCTCTCCGATCTCCGCCGCCTCCGCCGCTTTCGTGGCGAGCGAAGCGAGCGAAGCGACGCGCTTCGCCCTCTCAAGCAAAGACTTCCCGTGGAAGGCTCCCGCCTCATAGCCAAGGGTTATTATACAGCTTCGCCCCATCAAGCCGTGTGACAGGACCTCGCCTTGCGAATCAACCGAGCTGTGAGGCTTTCTGTTGCTGCAGCATGCGCCCCCTCGCTCGAAACCGGAGCCGCTTCGAAGGGAGCTCCCTCGTCGTGCGCTGGTCGCCCTTGTCGCGCCAAGTGCCGCATCTCTCGCAACAGGGCTGCATGGAGACAGGGCGAACCTCGAGCGTTCTGCCCTATGCGAGAATTACCAAGTCACGCAGCAGCAGGGCTTTTGGACGGGTGATCCGTTTCTTTGAAAGACGGGGGGCGAACTATAACAGGACCAGAGAGGACTGGGCGGGCGGGCGGCGGGCCCGGCCGGCCTTCGTAGCTGTGGCGCTTCTGGAGCTCCGCCAGCGCCGAAGCATCGAGGCGCAGCCAGCTCATGCTGCTCCGCATCCGCCGGACCCACAAAGGCCGCACCTGTCAGTCACAGACTCACAGAGAGCCCCTTTTTGCAGCTCACACTCTCTCCACGAAGACTATGGAGCTGTCTCTCTGTTGGGCGCAGCCGCGCCAAGACGCGGGGGCGGCGCAAGCGCCAGGCGTAGGCACCGACCTGAGCCTCAGCCTTCTGGGCCTTCCGGGCCTTGCCGAGGTAGTGCTGGAGCTCTTTTTCAGAAACTTGATGCTTGGAACGGGCAGAGGCCGACTGAAGCTGCCGAAGACTCCGCCAGCGGCTGCTGCTTCCATCGATCTGGCAAAAGCCCCAGACGGTGCTGGTGCCACTGCCTAGAAGCGCCACAAAGGCTTTCGGATCTTTTCTGCAAGGCTTGGACCGCAGCTCCCAGGTCTTGCAGCCGGATAAAATCAAGGACAACCACTCAGGCTTCACTGTCAGCGCACTCGGAGAAACAGTTTGGGGTGCGTCCCCACCTTTCGCTTCTTCCGCTTGCGACATGGCGCTCGAGCCAAGCAGGGCGAGTGCAGCGAGTGGAGGAGCCGCAGACACCTGACACCTCCCCTGGCCGAAGACTCTTCGAGGATTCGACCCCCATCCTTTTTCTGGCAAGGCTTCAAACGCTGCCCACATTACCACGGTCTTCGTTGGCTGCTCTGTGCACTCCCACGTCATTAAAAACGAGGTGCAACGGGCGCATCAAGCGGGACCCCAGCACCATGAGTGAGACAACAGACAAGACTGACGTGGAAGCTTGATATAAACGGAACATCTCTAAGGCGCTACGGTTTCGGCAAGCGGAACTCCAGAGCCTAACGACCCTGGGGCCATGTGGGGCTTGCATGCCTGAGATGGATCGCTAGGGCCGCTAGGGCCGCTAGGGCACTTGGCCTAAGTTTACAGTTTCCTTCATCTTAGATGCTCGAGAGCGCTCTAACCTGGCGCATAGAAGCCGCGACTCGTTTCGCTAATCGCGGAAATGGATCAGCAGGATGGTTGTGTCATCCACCAGCTCATCGCCCTCGGCTCGCCTCACGGCCTCACACGTTCTCTCAGATCTCTCTCCGAGCTCTCTCCGTCTCTCGGCTCTGTCTCGGAGACGGTTGCCTCGCCTCGGTGAGGGCTTTCAGGGCGATGCTGGGCATGGTCTGAAACTTTGCAACGATCCGCACGGCCTCACGTGCGCTCACGGCGAGCGGATGCGAGCGCGCGCTGTCGCCTTGCCGCAATGCCGCCGCAACGCGCCTCATCGTTCTCCACGGAGTCCCAGAGGCCATCAGTAGCAATGATCAAGAACTTGTCCTCACGCCGCCGCCCCGACACCGCGCTAGCCTACGCCAGTGTCCGCAGTGCAGGCCATCGCCTGCCCTTGCAGCTTGTGCTTCGTCACCTCGGCTGAGAGCAGGGACGGGCGAAGCTGCGCAACCGGGAAACTGCGGAGCCTGCGCCGAGGCTCGGACCACGGGTGCTGCGATGACCCCGAGAGCACGCGCGGCGCCGTCGCCCAAGCTGCGAGACCTCGCTGCCGAGCCGAGCCCTCGGCCCTCGGGCTTGCACTGAAGTGGTTCTTTCTCTGCTGGGTGCCCGGCACGGCCAAGCCCGGCTTCTCGCACGAGGGCCCGTCCCAGACCTGAGCACAAAACCGACTGGACGACGTGTGACGTGTGGCACCCAACTTTCTTTGAGGCCCCTGAGCTCCCTACACGGAAAGGCCCGGCCTGCGTTTACAGGGAGCCCAGAACCACCACCTGTGCCTCTTTGGTGCCCGCAGTCGCCTCTTCACCAGAAGAGTCCCGGTATCTGCTAACGACGCCTGGCACGGCTACGCGGCTAGGCCGGCCAGGCCGGCAAAAGGCGGCTACAGCTCAGCTTTTCACCTTTCAAAATTCTTGAGAGCCTCCGCTGAGCTCGATGCGATCTCGCTCCTGTCCACGCTAAGCTCGGCACGACGCAAAGAGACTCCGCGTCAGACCCCCCCCCCCCCCCCCCCCCCCGCGGAGAGACTTCACACCTCGGGCATCTCCGGCTTCAGGTCTGTGGTCAGCGGCACGGCCTCAAAGCGCGCCCGCAGGGCGCTCAACGCTTTCTTTGCGCTTCTCTCGGCGCCCCGGCCCGCCAGGAGGAGCCTTCGAGGCGGCCCAGCACGGCACGGGAGTCTCCGACCTTATAGCCGAACAGTCGCGACTGACTCAGACAGAGACTTCGAATTTGGGGTCCCCCGAGTCCCGGGCATTGGCGACCGTCAGCAAAGCCTGGCCTCGCGGAAGGGAGCGGCGAGTCTTGGCCCACGGCCCGGGCCCCCCCGCGCGCCTCTGTCGACAAGGACCACCACGCCCGTGGATCCACTGTACCTCGCGGTGTTTCGCACACGAGCGCAGCTTGCAGCGCGAGCGCAGTTGCAAGGGCTTCTTTCTTCCTCTGCCGGCACTCGACGTCTGAGCCCATTTTGGCGTAGATGTCGTCGTCGGTGCTGCGGAAGGCATCCTGCGACCGATGAGCTCCGAACCAAGTAGTGCAGTGAAGTCCTCCAAAACCCTCTGCCTCCAGGGCTTTGGCAGGATTTTGCGAGGGGTGCGTGGGCTGGCTGCTCAGATGCCCCGGCCTAGACATGGGTGCCATGGGTGCTCCCTGAAGCAGCAAAAAAAAGACCCCGGCATCCGCGCAGCTGCAGTCTCGGAGGCCTGAAAAGACACGGCAGAAGTTTTCCGGTTCCCCACCGGTTCCCTCGCTTCGCTCTTCGCTGCGCTCTTGGCAAAGGCCGCCTCGTGGCCCAAGCGGCCGTGGCCTCAGCGACCAAAAGCCGTCCAGAGACACCAAGAGCATCAAAGCATCGGCATCAACAAGCACACATCCACTATCATTGGGGTCATTTACGTCGTCATCACCATGACCATCATCGCCATGCTCAGCAAAAGCAAAACGACAAACAGTCAACAATATCATCCTACAGTCATGTGGAGAACAGTGCACACACACACAGTCATCAGCAACACCATTGGCAACAGCTTCACGTGCATGTGTCGTAGTCGTTTTGAACAGTCTTATGAACTGAGTGGAGTTGGGCCCTCACTTTGGTGTCTCCCAAAGTTTCAATCGAGGGGGTTACACCATTTCGTTTTCCCTTGGAGCTGCGGAAGCATCTCCAGCTCTTCTATCGCTGTCCAACCTGTCTATGGTCTTTATTGCTCAGCAGTGATGTGCGCAACAGGGCATATCGAGGTGTCGCCTGTCATCGGGACTGTGATCTGCTTGTGAGATTCCGCTATTATCTTCACGTCAGGAATCGAGCTTGTTGGGTTGGACACACTGAAAAACACATTGTTGAATTTCCGGCTCCCCTCCTTGGCATCGTTTTCTGGCCTATCAGTGGGTGACTTCGTGCTTGGGAAGCACAACGTAGCTGAACGACTACGCCAGGGAGGGGACTGTTGCTTGCAAAAGTACCAGGCAGTTCTTGGGCGATGCTGACTCCACAAGCAGACTACGACCGTGCTGGACCCTTGCCGAATGGCGTGGGGTTGCGCACGAGATTCATCCATTGAGAAATCCTCCGCACACCGCGGTGCCACCAGTTATCATGGCGGGTGGGTCGCGCGCCGAAGTTGAAAGAGCCAGGTCACGCTGGTGAGTTAGGCAACATGGGTCAACATGGTGTTCCCGTCTAGTGGCAACGCGGTTTTTGCTGGTGGAGGCGATGCAGGTCTCGCAGCTGCTCCCCAGGACTTGTCAACATTGGCGAATCTGGTCTCGCAGTGGTGCAGATGCTGCCCGAACCTTAAGCCGTAAGCATATCGAGATGACGCGGGTCTCCGATTCAAAGAATTTCGGCTCACGGCGATGGCATGCCAACGACTGGCCAATTGCAGAACCCCGGACCACCACGTGTGTTATCACTCAGATGCTGGCTGATGGAGAATCTGAATCGGCATTTGGGCATCACCAAGCGTGGTGTAAGCACACGTGTGCTCACCAGCGACCAACCTTGCCCCGGCAGATTTGTTAGCGAGATGCAACCAGAGGATCGAGAAGCGCATATGGAGTCATGGAGTTTGGCGTCGGAAGATGCAGAAGGAATGCTCTCATGGGGACAATGGGGACCATTGACAAACCAGCATCTGCGATGAAACATGTCGTACACAGCCCTCGAATCCGTAACCAGGAACGCTTCCTCGGAAGGGTCGGTCTGCCTGACCACCGCCACTGAACCATCAGGTCCGAAACGGCATCGTCCATCGCCAGAGCTTCCGATCCCAGAAGAGCGTTGACAAGTCTTGGCAATCTCGTCGTAGATGAGCCTCTTCTCGTTCAGCTCCGTCCCAAAATTTCTTTGTCAGTCCAATGAACTGACCATGCAGCTTGCCATCATAGTACACCACGTCGTTGTCCTGAAACTTGTGGAGCAGCCGCATGTCACGATCACTGGGTAGCCGGCTTTCCCACTCAGTCATCAAATCAGCCACCCAGGTTCCAAAGACTCTAGATCGCTGTGCAGGTGCCGGGGACTTGGCTTTGGGGCCGCCCACTTTATCCAGACTTCTCTTGATCCTCTGATCCACCATACGACCGTCTTCAGGAGGAACTTCATCATCAGGATCTCGTTTGTTGGTCTCGTCACACGTTCAACGCGCACCCGGATCTGGATGGCCATGCACCTGTCTGTACACCTGCACCGTCCGCGGCGATCGCACTGGTCGTGGTAGTAGTCTTAGTGTTAGACGTAGATCCCGGGGCCGCTCTTTGCCAGCAATGGTTGTTGTCCTTGTCAATCGTGATTCTCTGCGCACTCGGACCACCAGGATCCACATCATCGACTAGATTGACCTTGGACTCTGCCGCGACATCAACGAACTGCATCTTTTCGCTGTCATATCTTTTTGCATCAAGGAATGACGCGGGCATGGTCTCGACCCCGGCCTTGCCGGCATTTGCCATCTTGCAGACATGTCCCGCATGACACTTCCACAGCTGGCCACTTCTCGTCAACAGACCGTCTGGCAATCTTGCATCACCACATAGCATGGAATGGCATGGAACAGGTTCTCCTCTGCGTGGGGGATTGATCTCGACTTGGTTGCTGCTCTCCCCACCAGAGCGGTAATGAATGTAGGTGTGGCTGGCTTGCACTCTCCACAGGCTGGACCCTGTCTCTCCCTCTTACTTCCACACGTGCAATCCTATGCAGGCAGAAACGGCGGCCGTTCCTTTTGCACTCACTGCCGGCGGCGGTTCGTCTGTGCAACGGGATAGCTCTGATTGCTCAGGATAGAAGACACATATAGCACTTAGCTATGGGCATTGACTTGAGCCAAACGTTGCGTGGGCGGTCACATAGAAAGGTAAAGATGAGGGACGCGTAGCGTGCCCCCTTAGAGTCGAGGGACGCGTAGCGTGCCCCCTTCTCTTGCACTTTACACGGTCTTGCTCACAGCTCTTATAGTGACACCTTAGAACTTGACAAGGCATCGCAGTCCGTTCGCACCCCCCATGAGTTGCGTCTCCGA